AAAAAAAAAGAATTCCCGTGTAGTTAACATCTCAAGTGACTGCCCTTCTCCACCCCTCCCGTTGCATCTATACCTAAACCCTACAGCTCCTAGCAACCTATAGGACGGGTTCCAACTGCTAATAGGGTTTCTGAAGCTGTAAATCTTCATGGGATTAGAAAGCCTCATTTTTCTCCCAAGGAGCAGCTGGTGTCTTTGAACTGCTGACCTTGTGGTTAGCAGCCCAACACTTAACCCACTGTGCCACCAGAAGGGGACTTTGTTATAGATATACCTAAAACTCACCACCATTAAGTCAATTCCAACTCATATCAAGCCTACAGGGCAGAGTAAAACTTCCCTTGTGGGTTTCTGAAGCTATAAATTTTTCTGGGAATAGAAAGCCTCATCTGTCTCCCAAGGAGAGGCTGGTGGATTTGAGCTGCTGACCTTGTGGTTAGCAGCCCAGCCTGTAACCCACTTCAACACCAGGGTACCTTTATGAAGATATAGTACATGGTAAATGAGTACTCTCTTTTGTAAGAGTTGGCACAAAGCTGGTTCCTATGGGGCAGAGGTTAAAAGGGTTCCAAATGTCCAATTTTTCCAAACTGCTATACCACTCCATCATCTCTAGTAACAGCTGCTCCTCCTCTGCTCTTTTCTTTCCCTCTCATGCCTTTGGGTTCCATAACTCACAAAACTCAGGATCACAAAAAAAGAGCAGCATCTCACAGAAATCTGGATCCTTCAAGGAAATAGCTCATGGCTGGCGAGGAGTCCCAAATCTGTGGATCAGGTGTCTGACAGGAGGCATCTCTGGACATTAGTGGTTTCAAGGAGCTAATGAGCCCTAAATGGCAGACCCGACAGCAGGCTTGGCAAGGTGCAGAAGCTGGCGAATCAGATCAGACAACAGACTACTGGCTCAGGCAGTGTGTGTGTGTGTGTGTGTGTGTGTGTGTGTGTGATGATGATGATGATTCCCTTAATGCATCACCAGAAAGGAAGCACCACACATTCATACTCACCGGCAATGACAACCGGGGCCTGATGACCCTCTGACTCTCAGAGACAATAATCTGGTTGAGTTCACACAAGCACGTGATGGGCCAAGGACTCACACCTAAAATGTTTAGATTTCAGTCCACAGTTGGTAATCATCATAAAACGCCCCTGTTATGTTGGAGGAAGCTATGCCTGGTGATGTAGTGGGATATGTGTTGGGCTGTTAGCTACAAGGTCAGCAGTTCAGAACCACCAGCCATTCACGCTTCAGGGGAAAGAGAAGGCTTTCTACTCCCGTTAAGAGTCACAGTCTCAGAAAGCCTCAGATCAGTTCTACTCAGTCCTATAGGGTCGTGATGAGTCAGAGT